ATTATCTCGAGGCCAAGATCGTGCCCCCGTCTATCCAACAGGCGTACGTGTATTTCAAAGCCGGTGCCGGAGCGGAAGGTGGGTATAAAATTTCCTGTATCTTGGACCCAACTGCTAACGGATCACCAAGCCGCTTTTACCATCACCGGCGTTGCCTCCGCCTCATGGGACAGCGGGCGCTATGAGCTGATGAACTTTGGGTTCCCTGGACTGTGCGTGTTTATCTTCGCAGCAACTTCCAGGTTCATCGAGTATCTCAAGCTACTATCCGGGATTGCTGACGCTTGGACCTTCCGTAAGTCCTGTTGGCTTTTTTGGGGTGTCCTCGAACTAACCCTTGGGCAGCTGCATCTGTATGGGGAGCTTTCCGGAGAGCTCTCGCTGTCGGGAACGTACAAGACCTCTGTCATGTACAATTTCCCGAGTCTGGACTTGAGCTTCGGGAAACAAGATTCAAATCCCGGGCAAAGCAACTTTGGCCAAGCCGTTCAGCCCACAAATAATTTCGGCAGTAGGGTAACCCTTTCTTCCTTGCAGACTCTTCTTGATTGTTTTCTTCAGCCGTGGACTACAATGTTGGGTGGAATGTTGAACTCACGGGGTCCGCTGATGTTCATCTCATACCGAGCCTGCAACTTGGCATCAGTATTCTCGGTGGTAGTCTCCTTGACGGACAAGTCTTTGTTGAAGCGGATTTGTTCGCGGGGCTGTCTATTACGGGAAGTGTTTCCGACACGGTAAGTCTACACTGGACCCAGACGGCATCAGCTAATCTTTGAGCAGGTCGCACCAAACTTTTGTGTCACGCCGGTTTATGGAGTCAATCTCAACGCCGGGTTGACTGGTTCTGTGCTTTTCTGGGAACCCGGTCCAGGTGTGTTCTGATAGTTGTGTTGTGATCGAATGCTGATGCGCGTCCAGTTTCAACCACATTCTATTCGGTTCAAAGTGACTTGGGCTCCGGCTGCTTCAACAGTATTGATGAGCCGACCGCGGCGGATAGTTCTTCCAGCAAGAAACGCACTTCGCTCGAAGCCTTCGCGGGTCAGCCACTGGCGTATTCAGCCTCGGTCGGCGAGAGATTCTCGCTCGAGCCGCCTGCGCGTACCGTTCGCCCCACAAGTAGCTGGGAGCGTCCAGGCCTTCGTGGGGAGACTGAACTCAACAAGCGCGCCATACCCTTCCTCCCTGGAAATCTCTTCTGCCCTGCCGTGGATTCCGACATCAGCGCCGACGATTCGAATTGGTGCGCAGTTTCTGATTCAACCCGTCGGAAGTTGAACTCGTTCCTAGTGATCCGTATGCGGGGGATTCGCCTGGGCTGTCTCGGAGGCATATCGACGAAGAAGAACTTCTCCGGGAGGGCTACTTCATTCCAACTCTGAACAACACCGACATTGGCGCCTATCACTCCGAGGAAGAAGCCCTCCATCACACTCTATCCAGGCGTGCCAAAGATGGTGCGTCGCTCATGAATTGCCCAGGCATGGCGAGTGAGTCCATCTTTTGTGCACGGGGTTGATAGTACTGAATGTTCATTTTCCAAGTACCCATTGCTGCTTATAAATCACTGAACGTCAATGGATACTACGACCTGGCTTCTCCTATGACTTTGAGCGGTAATCTGAGGGGATACTCTATTCCGCCGTACTACACTGGGACAACGTGGGCTTCTCCAGCAGTGCACTACACTTTTTACTCACATGTCTGCCCATAGCACTAAGAAGCTACCCTCTCTGACTGCTACAAGAAATGTCGCTTTTATCTGTTTCTTTCAATGCTCGAACTAACTCGGTGGCATAGGGAGCTGTCATCTATGGCCGGGAGCACGTCTATGTGGGTGTACTTTTATGTTCCTCGGGCATGATCTCACTTTAGTCGTGATTCCAGGAGCAGAGCATGTGTGAGTGCGCTAGCCGTCGCTGTCGTCTTTGACTGATAGATTCCTCAGCGAGTCTCTTCATCGACTACCTCAAACAATTCCCGAATGTCTGGACGGATGGTTCAGGCGACAACTTCTGTGATTGGGTCTCCCACAATCTGTCCGTCTTCTTCTTGCACCCATGTTTTGTCGTATTGATCAGAGACATCCAGGTTCACAACCCCAGCGTACATGCCAGCCGGAACCATGCCAGTCAGTACACAAATCGGCAACTGCTACCCCTCCCGGCAAAATTCCTTAAGTGCCGGGATTCCTGTTCTGGAACAGCGTGCCAAGTGTGTATTGAGTTTGCCTCTACCTCCTGGCTTCCGACACTGACGCGGATGCAGCGAATACAAGCAAAGCGCGATCTATTTCCCGGAGTTCGCACAAGACTCAACTCTGTCCAAGACGCCGGGTATTATCGGCACATGTAAGACTGTCGTCGCCTTGTTCTTTTCATGCCACTCAACTTCGTCTCAGCGACATTTACCGGTTCCTGCCCCACGGCACAAGTTGCAACCCTTCGTGCTCTGGCGGCGATCACTCGTGAGTAACTACTTGTTCCCGGTCGTGGCACTTACCTCCGTCGCCGCGCTAGCTTTCATGAATGTGTGTTTGCTTTCGGTTTTCATCTGACTGTATTTATGGACCGGATTGATCAGAGCCTGGTTGCACAAAATGCCTTCATACGCAACAATGACTGTATCAGAGATGTCTACCAAGTAAGGGATTCTGTTCTTCCCAAAGTACTGATTCAGAACTGGCCTATTAGACTTGGTTTATGGAGTACAAAGTAAATAGCATAGGCGCGGCGCCGGCGGGCGGTATCCCCACCGTCGCCAAATTCATTGCCCAATATAATTCTTGGTACGTAGTCCCTGGAGTAGGAAATCCCTTGTTTGACCTCGAATTTGCAGGGTCAAGACCATCGTGCAGGGCATGCAGCCAGCAATTGTCGCGGAAATGGGGAGGCTCATCCCTCTATTCAAAGGCAATGCTCAAACCGATGTTAAACTCAGCAGTATGTCGCAAGCCTCATTCAGAAACTACATATCTGATGGTTACTTTGAACAGCCAATGCCGTCCTCTCGAATTGGGCCAACCTTAGTCCTGCCGTACCCGCTAGCATGTCCTGGCAACCAAACAATAACCTGGTCAGTCCCTCCACGTGGCCGCGGGCAAATTATAACTGGAATTCTCAGAATACTGCAACGGGTGATGTTGTGGGCATTGACACTGTCACTATGGCAGATTTGACCGCACTGATGAACGGGTGAGTTTTGATTCTCTGGGGCTTGGAATCGGGCTGACGGATTTCTAGTGTGCCAGCGATCAGTTGGGCGAACTCCCTTCCTTGAGAACATAAATAGCTACTTCCATTATTTCAAATTATTTGGCCCTACTTAATATTATTGCGACGCGTTCGATTGCACCAAACACATGATCGTGAACACACGAGGACCTTCCATGTTTGACTGTTTACACAATACTTACCGCTCTTTGTCTCCCTCTGCTCTCCTCCATGGTCGAAGTGCTTGATGCCCGCAGTGTTTGGTCCTCGTTACAAGACCCCATTCACGACTCCAGTCAGTGCGCCACCCTCGTCCTGAGGTCCACAAATCTCCCGGCCCGCAGTTGAAGTTGAGTTAAGCTTAGTAGCTTCGATGTATTGGACTGGTAAGTAACATGCGCACAGTAATCCAAGGGACTGAATGGCATGTGATCAGTGGGTCATATACATCCCGCTCCGGGCTACGCTCTTGCGAGCTTGAAGGCCGGTGTATAACACAACGAGGTACGAGTTAATATGTTATAGCGTCTGGTTGTAAGAGACTAAGGCCGGTGGCCCTCCACCAGTGGAGGTTTCCCTGCTCAAAGGAAACGCGGTGTTCTTCGAGGATACGTTCGAAGCACAACTTGCTGTAGGTTACTTTCTCTGCTTGAAATTGTTACAGACATTGACCAATATTGCAGGCCAATATGAGTTCGTGAGTGATATACAAATTGCAGATGGACCTACATCCTGATACATTCTCCACATCATCGCCGGCGCTGATATCCGGTATACTATTTCTACTCTCTCTGCAGTTTCAGTCTGTCGCAAGCCCACCCGAAATGAGGAAGTCATCAGTGGAATGGGCCCACTTCACATCATCTGGCTTTACCGCAACCACCCAGAGCTCGAGGCGCAGTTGGAGCAAGTTGTCGATCCAACCGCATCCAATCTACGCAAAGCTGGAATGGTGCGAACACGGCTGGCAGGGCCAAGGGTGGAACAATTCATGGGGTAGTCGTCTTGAGAATATATGATATCCTGTGTACTTCCAATTCTTTATCCCTCTCAGCTCTGCCGCGGCTGGACGATTCCCGCAACACCGCAATCAGCAAAGAACATCTCCTCCACGTCGTCCCGCATCTTGAGCGGGAAGTACTTTACTCTGTGTGAGTATTAGCTGGCTGCAGACCAGAATTACACCATTCAACTCGCATTCTATGTCCGTGGAGACATCCGAGACGTATCAACATCACGGACCATCGGATCCCAGGCACCGAAATGAGCGCCGACATCATTAGTTTGACTGGCACAGAGGATACTTAAGTAGAGGTCGACAGTTCCCATCCAAACGCCGCGACGACAAAAAATCCTTGGCAACAGGAGTTTCCCAGTTCGATCCAACCAGTGAAAGAAGGTTTTCAATTTTGATCCTTCATCGGATCCGGCGAGTCGCGACAGACGTCGATACTAAGCATGAAATAATGTTGTGATCCTTTTTCGGTTCTGGCGGCTGAAGCGGACGTCGATATCTAAGCATGAAAGAATGTTTTGATCCTTTCTCGGTGGCGGCTGAAAGTGTGCAGATCCGGCAGTGCAATACATAGCCCCCGAGTTCACATGCGGGAAGGGGATGTCGTCAGAGGCAACTTGATCAAAGATATTATCATAGCCAGCATAGTTCCCATTACCGCTCTGTGACGCAGAGGAGTGGGCGGGTTCTTCAAATGTACAGATTCTTGTGCCCTATTTCAATTTTTCATACTTGCAACCGGCTCTCGTTCATCGTGAACCAGGAAAAATTGTGGACACGAGGAATCGAACCTCGGTCTGCCTCCGGTCCCAGGAACCAAGGGGACCGTTGTTCCGAAGCTGTGCTATCCATTACACTATGTCCTGTTGGGAACTTCTTTCGGCTTCAGGTCAAGGTCCGCCTTTCAATTGGTCTAGTATTCAGAGTGGGACAGGCAGGGCGGACACTGCGGAGTCCGCATCGTTACCTAGTACTTTACACGCAATCATTTCAGGGTTCTCCACTGTATTTGTTTAGACGCCGCTCAAACATACTCACGCGCGGTGTTTGCACAGTACAAAGTCATTAATTGTCTCCCAAGCCGTGGCCTTACTAGTAACACGGAGTCAACAGGAGAAATCTTGATACGCCCAGATAGCGGGATTGTGGTTGCGACGCCCACACGTGCCGCCGGCGCAGTTTTCACTGCACTCGTTTGATTCGACAAGATATGTCAACCGGATATCCCATCAGCGCAGATTATTTGAGCATTCGCATGCATGGGACCTATTTTCGTACTGCGAGCGGCAGATCTTCCTCCAGCCCTGAAATGTGTATGTGGAATCAAACATCCATGATGGGCGTTTCAGAAACGTGGCCGTGACTCGGGATCAAGCCACCGCGTGTCGGCGCAGGTGGTTTTCTTGTGCGATAATTCGGGACTCGCGGTTGCCTTAGGACCAGCTGCACTTGAATTGAATACATCCAAGTCATACAGAGCATTGCGGGTGGCCGGCCATCAGTGTAGATCACGGCCAACAGAAGCATGATTCCCATCACTTTTCATTGTCTTCCGCCTACACTCATGCTGATCTTGGAAGCCGCGTCGCCGCGCCTCAGCCACACCTGCCCCCTTGCTCCCCCACAGTGAGCCCGGTTAATCAGTTGTACTTTCATCTCGACTGGGATGTGCGCACACCGGAATATAGGACACCGGATTCGGGCTCCAGCGCTGCGTATGGGCGGCGCAGGAGCATATAACCAGGCACGAATCCGGAGAAGCCAAGCAACCAGCCAATCAACCAACCCACCCAGCACTCAAATGTCCAGTCCCGATTCGCCTCGCCCCTCTTACTACAATATTCAAAGGGGAAGAGCGTGCTCTAATTGCAGGTGGGCGCTTCTAAGCTCGGATACTGGATAAATACTGATTCTGCCCCCAGGAGCCGGAAGCTTGTGGGTCTTCTTTCTGTTTCATTCCAACAGAACGCTAAAGGATTGTCAGAAATGCGACGGCGTGCGCCCGATCTGTGGCCAATGCCGCAATCGACCTCCTCGATCTGGTGAGTCGTTCCGCCAAAGACAGACTCCAGTCTATTCACGCAAAGGCTGCAGGAGCGCCTTGCCTGGCTCAGGCCGACCCTCCGGACCATCAAACGCCCGCACAGATGCAAGAGACGATTCAGAGAATGAGGTCCCGCATACAGCACCTGGAGCGCAGCTCGGAGGTACCTCTCAGCCAGCCATACGCATCGAGCAGTGCGGGTGCGTGTATTCTTCATCTGCCATTCCCTTTGCGATAACTCGTTGGATTAGGATCTACGCCACCCTACGTAGACCAGGGTTTTGAAGTGAGTTGACTGCTCGATAGCGACATCAATGGCTGATTCCCGTGCAGGAGCCCCCAAAAGATGTCATTAAACAACTGTACGCGTTACTTCTCTACTAATTCAAATGTCTTGACGTCCCCACCAGCATAGAAACGTTCTTGAACTACTTCCGCGACAGCGGATACTTCTTTATGGAGCCCAGCCGATTCTTCCAATGCGCCCTCATCCCTTTGCCCATCGGGCACATCGACCGGCCCTCCCCAGCCCTCCTCAGCGTCACCTACCTATGGGGCTGCGTCCTCGGCCCGGCGTCAGCCCTAGCCGATCCGTACACCGAAGACGGCTTCCTCCTCGCGACTCTCAACAACCTCGCCGCCGACATCCGCGCCTTTGCAGTCCACCCAAAACTCATCCTCGAGACGCTCCAAGCAGAGATCCTCCTCTCATTCTACTTCCTCCACGTAGGGCTCCCTGTTCAAGGACGGTATCACGCCGGGGCTGCTGCGTCGCTTGCGTTGAGCGCGGGTCTCCATCGTGCACCCCGCTCTCCCCAGCCCGACTCGAGCTCCAGTCCGCCCTTCCCACTCGCACAGATGCTCCTCCCAGCTGACATCGACGCGATTGGTGCTGCGGAGCGAATTGGTGCGTTTTGGAGCGTGATGTTGATCAATAACTACTGGGTCGCCTCGCATGGGTGTCCGTCGGCGATTTCGTGCAGCATGTCGGTGGATACGCCTTGGCCTGGGGGATCGAGGGTGCGTGTACTGCGCTCGTTGCCGTCCTGGAGATCATTGCTGACGCGTAATTCAGGCTGATGCGACGCTGTCTCGGTTCCTTAACGGCGACGATCGTGAGGGAAATACGCCCGTAGCGTTCCTCGTCAAGGCTTCAATTTTGCTGGAGCGGATCGTTTCGTTCAGCGTCCGGTCGAATGGTATGCATTCAGAAAGCTCTCGATTAGCATATGGCTAACACTGGATGTGAATCACAGCGGCCTTCGACGCCTCGGGATTCGACACACTCGACAAACGTCTCCAGGCATTCCGCAGCGCCCTGCCACACGTACCAGGCAACAGAACGCTCTTCGTCGCACGCTGCCTCACGGAGCTCGCTGTAATCCGCCTTCACGGGCCCCTGGCTCGGACAGCGGAGAGGGCACAGTACGAGATGCTTGGCGCTGCGGGGAGGGTTGTATCGACCGTCGTGCCTGTTGCGAGCGCTGAGGCTGCTTTTGGTGCGGATCCGATACTCGGGGTGCGTCTCTCTCCCTCCCTCCCTCCCTCCCTCCCTCGTGATGCTGAATTTCACTTCTGCATTCAGCCCCTCTGCGCAACGGTCGGCACCGTGTACATCGACCACCTCACTGCCCTGCGCAACAACGGCGGGGGTGGGGGTGCGTTGAAGCAGTATCAGGAAATGGTAAAGCAGTTGCGGATGTTGGTGAGTGCCATGGAGGTTTTGGCGCATGGTGGCAAGAGTCCTGTTATGGGTGCGTTGGCTTCAATTGTGCTGCGATTGGAAATCTGGATCTGATGGACTTGATTGATGTAGAACGGTGCTTGATGTTGACGCGCCATGCGGCAAATGGGCATTTGGCGTAAGGTTGTCGGGAAATGTGGAACACCTAGAGATTTGTGGAATGGTTATTTTGTATGCTTAGAATTTTGTATGCTTAGAATGTCGAATTCGACGCCTGGAATATTTATCTCTATTTATTGTTACACCATCATTGATCCCTTGTTGATGACCATCATTAATCCATGATCGGTCCGAAAATCCGAAGGTTCAAACTTCAGGCGCTCTTCCTTGGCCCCTGCTTACGCGGACCTTGGCGTTTGTAAATTGGTCGGGCTATTTGTTCTGCCCCGCAACCCCGCAAAACCGCAGGGGATTGGGGTCGGGACACGTTTGACGTTGTTTCAATTTGATAGGGTACTTGAACTTAGCCGGCAAGTTCTTCTTCGCGGGGTTGTTGAAAGTGCGCCCCGGATCTCTACACGATAATGTTCAAAAGATACACCAGAATTAGCCTTTTCTTTTTAAAGGTTCCCCGCCGCCAGCATCCTGTCGAAGCGACACTTGATCTGTCAAATTTCAAATGGACCCCAGATCATATGACGCCGACAAATGCCGCGTATCATTCAAATAAGGTCCGCTCATGTGCGGTCGCTTCTGCCGCTCCTCCTTTCTTCCCCCCACCCCCACACAGAGCCCTGACAACTTCGACTCTGTATGGATCCCGAGAAGCAAGCCCGATTCGCTCCTGAGCAGCCCACCCACGTGGAGGGGACGCCCATCCAGCCCACCGTGACCAACACCACCACGGGCGACACCGAGAAGGGCTCGAGCAAGTATGCGGCGAGCACGACGGGGCTTGATCATCGTCTCGAGACGAGCAAGGCTGAGCGTCGGTTGCTCTTCAAACTGGGTGCGTTCGCTGGCTATCTCGTCCCTCGCCTCCGAGTCGGCTAAACTGGACGGACCAGATATTATTATATTGCCCCTCGCCGTCCTCCTTTACCTTAGTGCGTATTTGGATCGAGGAAACCTGGGAAAGTGCGTCCGCATATTTTCTGAGCTCGGAACCCGATTTGATTATGATCTAGCGCTCGTCTTCAGGGCCTCCAGGAGACTGTACTCGACGGGAAGGACAAGAACTACAGCCTTGCCCTGTCCTGCTTCTACAGTGAGTCATCCCTTACGTTTGCGGCGACGATACTAACTCTAGCCAGTCACGTACATCGTCTTCTCCGTCCCCGGCACCCTCCTCTCGAAAGCCATCCTTCCCTCTACCGCCATCTCCATCGGTGCCCTCATCTGGTCCATCGCTGCAACGTGCCAAGCCGCCGCATTCACTCCCGGCGCACTCTACGTATGCCGTCTCTTTGTCGGCATCGGGGAAGCCCTCTTCGGACAATCCATGGCCCTCTACTTCACCTACTGGTACCTCCCGAACGAGCTCTCCAAACGCATCGGGCTCTTCATCAGCGCAGGCTCTCTTGCCGGCGCTTTCGGCGGGCTCATCTCATTCGGCGTATCGAGTATCAAACACTCGTCTATAGTCCAATGGCGGATCCTCTTCCTCATCGAGGGTATCCCCTCGTTCGTCCTCGCCTTCGTCGTCTTCCTCTGCCTCCCCTCGCGCCCGCAGACGAGTCGGTACATCACCGAGGAGGAGCGTACCCTTGCTCTGACGAGGTTGAACCGCAAGAACTTGGGCGAGGGGCATACGGGCGTTGATTGGCTTGCAGTGCGGAGGGCGATGTTGGATTGGAAGACGTATGTCGTCTCGGTGCTCTACTCGTGCATGAACCTGGGACTCGGGTCCGTCACTGGGTTCTTGCCGACCATCATCAAGGGGCTGGGGTATACGAATGCCCGGGCGCAGTTGTTCACGGTCCCGCCTTACGCCGTCGCCCTTGTTTTCAGTGCGTTTCTCTTTCGGCTTGACTTCATTTGCTGATTAATCCGCTTAGTGCTCCTCATGTCGACGTACAGTGACCGCTACCAAACTCGTGGTATTCCAGTCGCCATCGTGTTCTGCGTCGGGATCGTCG